GGTTCGAGGTTTTGTGGTGTCCGGATGGAGGGCAGTTAGTCCCAGCATGCCCCCAAGCCCCAAACCTTACTTGGAGGTTCAGGTGGTACTTACTAACCAATCATAACGGTGCTTGCACCTGTACTTATCACCATATTAGGGCACTTAAGGGGAGCTGTACTTATCGTTGGTTGATAAGTACCATGAAGGTTCAGGTAAGCCCCAAACCGCAAGCGCTGTGAAGCTTCGCGAAACACCACCGCGAAGCCACGACATGAGCCCTACATTCCCGCAGCCCGGGTGCTTGGAGTTCAGAGGGCCAATTTAGGGTTTAGGGTTTAGGGTTTAGGGTTTAGGGTTTAGGGTTTAGGGTTTAGGGTTTAGGGTTTAGGGTTTAGGGTTTAGGGTTTAGGGTTTAGGGCCTGCAGGCTTGCAGGGCTTTGAAGCCCTGCACCCCTATTTCCGTGAACACTTGGGCTCAAGAGCCCGGTCGGCTGCAGAACCCGAAAAAGCTTCGGTTTCGGGTTTAGGGTTTAGGGTTTAGGGTTTAGGGTTTAGGGTTTAGCGTTTAGGGTTTAGGGTTTAGGGTTTAGGGTTTTATAACGCCGAACGATTGCCCAGGCACTCTCTCCGGGCCGCAGACGACCTGGGCGGGTTGTGCTTGCCCCTCTTGGGGCTCAGAGCTCCCGCCCAAGCCCTAAACCCTAAACCCTAAACCCTAAACCCTAAACCCTAAACCCTAAACCCTAAACCCTAAACCCTGAACCCTGAACCCTAAACCCTAAACCCTAAACCCTAAACCCTAAACCCTAAACCCTAAACCCTAAACCCTAAACCCTAAACCCTAAACCCTAAACCCTAAACCCTAATCCTAAACCCTAAACCGCCACTGGGAACACAGGATTGCGGGGTTTAGGGTTTTCAGCCTGGGGGTTTAGGGTTTGGGGTTTGGATCCAAATCCTGCTTCAAAGGCACCTCAGCTTACGCGAACATGTGTAGGGGTTTAGGTTCCTTAAGGGTTTAGGGCTTCAGGTTGAGGACTTTGGGTTTAGGGTCGAACCCTGAGGCCTCTTAAACCGGCGCGCATGACCACCAAAACTCTCGTTCAAAGTGCTCGGATCCTCGAAGACCTCCTGCTAGGGTCTATAGGGTTCACAGGGTTTTTGGGGTCTATGGAAAGCGTGTACAGGGTGAAGAGGATTTATCATTAACCGCAAGCTCTGCTTTCTGACATCCTGCAGTGGTCTCTTAACAAGCCAAGGCCGGGCTGCCAGTGTGCCGTCCTGGCCATTTTCGAAGCCTGGCGTGGCTGGGAGCGGTTTAGGGTTTTTTTAGGGTTTATTTAGGGTTTAGGGTTTAGGGTTTAGGATTTAGGGTTTAGGGTTTAGGGTTTAGGGTTTTAGGGTTTAGGGTTGGGGTTTAGGGTTTTGAGTTCGTTTCCTACCAAGAGTACAAGACAACTACTGCAAGCAGCATGGTAGCATGACAGATTGACAACGATGCTGGTTTATCAAGTTGTCTGAGTTCATTTCTGGTGTCCGTCCTATATTAAGTGCTTTGGTTGTTTGTGGAGTTGTGTGGAGTTTTGTGGTGTTGTGTGGTGTTTTGTGGCGTTTTGTGAGCCTAAACCCTAAACCCTAAACCCCAAACCCTACAGTGTTTTGTGGGGTTTCGCGAGTTCGTGCTAGGTATTGGCTCGAGGACATCTCGGCGCCGTGCAGTTCAGGGGCCTGGCACCTGGTTTGTCCCCAAACCCTCAGCCGGGCCGCGAAAAAAAGCTGCGGTTTAGGGTTTCGGGTTTCGCATTTCGGGTTTAGGGTTTAGGGTTTAGGGTTCAGGGTTTAGGGTTCAGGGTTCAGGGTTACCCTAGACTCTCTAGACCCTAAACCCTAAACCCTAAACCCTAACAACCCTAAACCCTAAACCCTAGACCCTAAACCTTAAACCCCCCCTGCTGGAAGCCTCGGAGAAGGGATGCGACCGGGCCGGAGGTGAAGGCGGCTGCAGGGTCGCGGCCCTGGGCGCTCGGGTTTAGGGTTTAGGGTTTAGGGTTTAGGGTTTAGGGTTTAGGGTTTAGGGTTTAGGGTTTAGTTTTTAGGGTTTAGGTTTTAGGGTTGTACTCTAAGTTCAAAGCCCAGAGCCCCCCCCACCATAGGGGGGGGCCGTCCGCTGTTTGGGTGTGTGTGTGGCCTGGGGAAGAGAATCGGGGTGGGCGGGTCGGGCAAGATTGGGAGCTTCAAGTCTTCGTCTTGAGGCTTGCCAAGCCTGCAGCAACTGCAGACCGCTAAGCTTGTATCACTGCGCCCCTAGGCCCTAAATCCTAAACCGAGTTCACTACGTTTTTGGGCCTGCAGGGCCCAAGCTCTGCAAGATGAGAACTGCTCGGCTCCAGATGCCAGTGGCGGAGCCTTTGGCCGCTTTGGGTGAGAATACGTAGCTGCCAGCCTACCACTCGCCAACTTCCCCCTGCTCCTGCCATCCTTCTACCAGCGGGCCGAGCAGACAGGCCACCACCACCCGAGCAGACCACACAACGTTGTCGGTCAGTTTGCACGGAGCAACGGAACTTGAACCTGCAAAGCTCCAAAGCGCTCCAGAATCTCCGGGCAGATTTCTCATCCTAAACCCTAAACTCTAAACCTTAAACCCCTGAACCCCTAAACCCAGCTCAGAAGGACGACCTCCAATACGACCAAACAACTTCACCTTCCGGCGATCACCTGGCTGTTGGTGACTTCCGTCTACAAAGATTTTTTCGGCCGCCAGGTCCGCCGTGGTTGTGTGCAAATGTGTATATATATATGTAATGTATCATCTATATCATTATATTAGATTTCCATGTTTATGTAATTTATTTATAACAACAACAGCTACAAGCACGTTCTGTACACCACTCAACGAAACCGCAGAACCAATCAATGGAGGCTTCGACAGCAGGCTCGTTACACTGTGTTTGGACTTGTGCATTGAAAAGCTCACTTCGATCATACTTCATCGCTACTCGACAAGCAGAAGCTGCTGCAGGGATCAAACTGATGCCGCCTGTAAAGGGTACGAGGCAAACTCCCCCAATCCATTTCCACATGACTGCACGCCGTGCTTTCGCCGTTTCGTCTTCCTTTGCCTTGCGCTTCTCGTCTTCGATGGCTTTCTGATTCCCTTGATGGTGTCCGATCTGGTACCCTTCATCGTACCCGACTCGCATGCCGTTATTGTAGCCGTCCCGGCGCCCACCGGCGTACCCTAGGCATAGTCCGCCCACGAGAACGCTTGCTCTCGGAGCTTGCCCAAACCGAGCGACGAATGGACTCAGCAGTTTGGAGGCCATTGCGCAAAACGGCTAGAGATAGAAAATGCTGAAGGTAGATAGGTTTAGATAAGCATGTGCGTGCTCTCCATGAACAGTTCGAGCACGAGCCTTGACAACTCCATCGCTTTTAGGCTTCAAGCTTTAAAGTGCTTCTTGCAGCCATTGGCGATGGAGATTCGCACATGTGGACAACAGAGCATGCGCTGAAAACAATGATGTCATGACGATTTGGTCTCCCACAGAGCCAGGCTTCAGTAACTGATCACAAACAAGCTCACTTCCTCAGTGCAGCAGGCATTATACTCATCCACCACGGCAGGATAGTAGATGCGTGCTTTGTGTGAGAGTCATGCCTTCTTTCCTAGACATAGACGCAGCACGGCAGGACAAAAGAATGACATTGACAACTACAATCAGGTGTGATGTGTGAAACCATGTCCAAAGGGAGGAAGTCAGAGCTGATATCCATGAAAGATGTCTATCACTTCTCGAACATCCATGCAACCAAAAGCTAAACTTCACTGGCTGCAACAGAATGAAAAGCTAGAAAGCCAAAGTTCAACTATTGGCAAAGGATGCCCCCGAAAAGAAGCGCCAGCTTAGAAAAAACAGACCCGGAGCCGTACACCCCAAGGCCTGAACGCGAAAACCCTTGCCTAAGATGGCCCTTATAAAACCCTCTGAAAAACTATTCCTGACTACAAGCGCCGGGTTTATCTCGACCCACCCGGTGTAAAGTCGGCCCAACCCCTGCGGCACACAGCAAAACAAGAAATGAAATGTCCCAAGGGCCGAACGAGTTCTTGGCTGCACTCAGGAGGGTAGCTATAAATTAAACTTTTAGCTGCCTTAATAAGAAACCCAATAAACCCAAAAAAGGTAAGGATCTAAAGTTACAGTAAAGTACCACAAAGAGTTTTTAACCCCCTCCTAAGGCCCGCGCCTGGTCCGGGGCAAGCTCGCTGATCTTTGGCGGCTGCATGGCTCTGAAGAAGTTTGGGAGGGTTTAGGGTTTTAGGGTTTAGGGTTTAGGGTTTAGGGTTTCGGGGTTTAGGGGTTTAGGGTTTTAGGGTTTTAGGGTTGCTCCGATGGGCTTGGGGTTTCGGGTTTTGGGTCCTTAGGGGTTTAGAGTGTTAGGACTTCAAGGATTTCGGGCGGGGGGGGGGGGGGGGTGGGAGGTGGGGTAGCGCTTTGATGGGGTTACTGTAGGATTTTGGGCTTGAGGTCTGAGCTGGGTTGAGCGGTTTGGGTTCAGGGTTTCGGGCAGCTGGCCTGCAAATAGCTCACGCAGTTGCCGCGTCTCGCGTGACGCTTACGAAGCTGTCCTGAACCCTAAACCCTAAACCCTGAACCCCCTGAAAACAACCACAAATCCTGTCATTAACCTTGGGTGGGCACTCCAGGTGAAAACTGCGAACAAACTACGAGCGCAAGTCAAAGAGACAAAAGCAGTAATACAGTTTAGGGGTTTGGGGTTTGGGGTTTAGGGTTTAGGGTTTAGGGTTTAGGGTTTAGGGTTTAGGGTTCAGGGTTTAGGGTTTAACTAGCGGTTTAGGGTAGCTGGTGGCACGATCATCTCGGAAACGAAAGACCAATCGCATCACTCAAAGTGAACGAACGTAGACGAGAATCTAGAACAGGCAGTAACTCACCACAGACATAGCGTGTCCCGTTCTCCGTGAGCAAGCCGCTCACAACATGACGCATGCTTCACAGAACGCCAAACTGGTCTCGCACTTGGCTGCAGTCACCGCCTGAACTTGGTTCACCCCATGTCACGACGGATCCATTTGCCAAAACTGCAGCGAATGCGGCATGTGTGGCCTGAATCTGCTTCACGTTCCGAAGCTGCCCATGAACTCCACTGCAGTCGCCCCCACCTGCCGAGCTGCCCCATGTCACCACCGTTTCGTCTTCAAGGATCGCAGCAAATGCGCTATGTGTGGACTGAACCTGCTGCACACTTCGAAGCTCTTCTTGAATCTGGCTGCAGTCGCCACCTCCATGGGGATCGCCCCATGCAACGACTGATCCATCTGCCAAGATGGCGGCAAATGCAACAGCTGTGGCTTGTATCTGCCGCACATTCCGAAGCTGCAGTTGAACTTCACTGCAGTCGCCACCTGCATCGGGACCACCCCATGCGACAACTGATCCATCTGCCAGAATTGCCGCAAAGGCGAAATGGGTAGCCTGGATCTGTTGCACATTTCCAAGCCTTGATTGAACTTCTCTACAGTCACCACCTGCAGCTGGATCGCCCCATGCAACAACTGACCCATCTGTCAAGACAGCAGCAAAAGCAGCATTTGTGGCTTGGATGTGTTTCACATTTCGCAGTTGCGATTCAACCTTTTTGCAGTCACCACCTTTATCTGAAAACCCCCAGGCCACAACTGAACCATCTGCAAGGATCGCGGCGAACGCGCCCGTCGTGGCTTGAATTTCCTGCACGTTTCGCAGCCGCTCTCGAACTTCCTCGGAGTCGTAGCGTTCGATCCAACTACCCCAGGTCACCACTGATCCGTCTTCTCGGATTGCGGCAAAGGCGTTGTGACCTAGAATTAACTTCAGGAACCCGACAAACATAAGCAAAAACAAAACTTGCAACTACCGTTTAAGGCGTGCCTGTTCATTCTAAGGTGTTTCTTAAGCAAGCCCTAGTGGCTGCTCTGAATTTGATGAATCTTCCGTAGCTGGTCCTGAACGTCCTTGGGGTGGTGGGCGCCTCCCCATGTCACAACCGATCCGTCTGCTCGGATGGCGGCAAAGGTCGTCGCGGTGGCCTGAATCTGCTTCACGTGGCGAAGTTGCGCTTGAACTTTGCGAGAGTCCCCCCCTGGCCATTCATGTCCCCACGTGACCACTGACCCATCTGCTAGGATGGCGGCAAATGCCCCGTCCGTGGCCTGAATCTGCTGAACGTTTTGAAGCTGCTCCTGCACTCGGCTGCAGTCACCGCCTGCCTCTGGATCACCCCACGCCACAACTAAGTTGCATCCAGGAAAGCACGTGGCAAAAGCGCCATTCATTGGCAGCACGCGGCCCAGGTTCGTTCGTTTCGTTGTTGCCGCCATCTGCGGTGCCTGCGTCTTGATTGCAGTGATGGTGTCCCCGTCATGAAGCCCAGCAGCTTCCACTGACTGCCCCTCTTCTAAAACACACCCGTCTGGAGCCACAAGGGTCAAGACGACTTGACCCGAAGACTCAGCTTCCGCGGCTACTTTGCGCTTCAGCTCACGAATCGTGCAACAGCGCGCGGCGGAGAGAACCGTACTGGTGCCACTGGGCAAACTGACACACAGTTCGACCGCGCCATCCATTCTCAAACACTTTGGCTCACACCAACCAGCTGCGATGGAGTTTCTCACTGGGCTTCGGCAGCCATGCTACAAAGCTGATGGTGGTTGTCAAGCAATGGTAGTTGGTAATACGTGGGGGGAACCGTTCATGATTGGGCAGTTGCTCTGGCAATGTCTGTCCTTGAAAGGTGGGGAGGAGCTTTGATGAACTGTTGGGAAATGCTTCCATGCTTCGCTTTGACGTGACGATTCGGAATTGGGGTTAGCGTGACAGAACAAGTCGACGACTCAGAAAACAGGAGGTATTTTGCTCCCGCTTGTGGCACAGATGTACGTGCTTTGCGTGCGCTGCGTCATAATTCTCGTCAAGCAGTGGAGCCACTCCGCCAAAACTAAACCCCAAGTCCCTAAACCCTAAAACCTAAACCCTAACCTCGTGATGATCAACCCTTATCCCTAGCTAGCCCCTGAACCGATTGAGCTTCCACCGAGGTGATGAGGACTATGGCGCCAGCGTTCAGAGCTGAATCTCTGTTTTACAGAGTCAGCATTCTACGCCAGGCAAGCTGCACCCGCAACTCGCAGCCGAAGCAACCTTAAAACCCTAAACCCTACACCCTACACCCGAAACCCTAAACCCTAAACCCCAAACCCTAATTTCTCCTGCAACCCTTGGGGGCGCTTCGGCCGACCTCCAAAGACACCAACGTCTCAGCGACGGATGCCGGAAGCCGGAAATCTGGCGCCTGACCAGTATGAACAGGGTTTTTGGGTTTAGGGTTTAGGGTTTAGGGTTTATGGCTTAGGGCTTAAGGCTTAGGGCTTAGGGTTTAGGGTTGGGATGTTCCCCCTTACTATCTGTCCTTAATCGGGAAGATCATAGGGGGACGGGGGTACTAGAATCCCTATTAACGACTGTTAGTATACGGGGGAACATCCCAAGTTTAGGGTTTAGGGTGTTGCACACGGAATTATTCTCCCATTCTGAGTGAAGGGCTTGGAGCTGGGGTTGCATGTGCGGCTTCTACACGGGCACCTTTCAACCCACTCTGCGATAGGTTCCTAAACCCTAAACCATAAACCCTCAACCCTAAACCCCAAACTCTGAACCCTAAACCCTAAACCCTAAACCCTAAACCCTAAACCCTAAACCCTAAACCTTGCTTTTGACAAAGGCTTTGGCCGGCCCTCCCACCCCACCTGTGGCCAGACTGGAGGGTCGCCTGTGCTGAGGCGCTCGGTTTAGGGTTTAGGGTTCAGGGTTTAGGGTTTAGGGTTTAGGGTTTAGGGTTTAGGGTTTGGGGTTTAGGGCGTAGGGTTTAGGGTTTAGGGTTTAGGGTTTAGGAATTGAGGGAATTTAGGGTTTAGGGTTCAGGGTTCAGGGTTTAGGGTTTAGGGTTTAGGGTTTAGGGCTCCAAGGGTGTGAGGGCTTGTGTTTTTTTTTGGGGGGGACGGGGTTTTTAGGGTTTTCTGTTGTAGGGTTTAGGGTTTAGGGTTTAGGGTTTAGGGTTTAGGGTTTAGGGTTTAGGGTTTAGGGTTTAGGGTTTAGGGTTTAGGGTTTAGGGTTTAGGAATTGAGGGAATTTAGGGTTTAGGGTTCAGGGTTCAGGGTTTAGGGTTTAGGGTTTAGGGTTTAGGGTTTATGGCTCCAAGGGTGTGAGGGCTTGTGTTTTTTTGGGGGGGACGGGGTTTTTAGGGTTTTGGTGTTGTAGGGTTTAGGGTTTAGGGTTTAGGGTTTAGGGTTTAGGGTTTAGGGTTTAGGGTTTAGGGTTTAGGGTTTAGGGTTTAGGGTTTAGGGTTTAGGGTTTAGGGTTTAGGGTTTAGGGTGTTTGGGTTTTAGGGTTTAGGGTTTAGGGTTTAGGGTTTAGGGTTTAGGGTTTAGGGTTTAGGGTTTAGGGTTTAGGGTTTAGGGTTTAGGGTTTAGGGTTTAGTTTCTTGTTTTGGGAGGGTGGGGCAGGGTTGAAAGTTTGGAGTTTGGTGTTCTTGGGCCTTGTTGGGCTTTTCGGGGGGTTTACGTTTCAGAGCTCTTGGGAGGATTTTTGAGGGTCTTTACTTGGGATGTTCCTCCTTATACCCACACTCCTCAATTGGGGTTATAATAGGGGGCCCTAAACCCTAAACCCTAAACCCTCAACCCTAAACCCTAAACCCTGTACTATAAGTCTCAGGCGAACGTCCCGTCCCAAGTCTTTACGAAAGTTTCTGAAATTTCCCAAACGTTAAGCAGACTTCAACTCAGTGAGCTGGCCCTCCCCTGGCCAAGTCTCGGGTCTAGGGTCTAGGGTCTAGGGTCTAGGGTTTAGGGTCTAGGGTTTAGGGTTTAGGGTTTGGGATTTACGGTTCAGGGTTTGGTACTTCAGGGGTGCTTCGGGTTTATATAGGTTTACAAGGGTTTGGAAGGGGTTTCGAGAAGTTTAGAAGGGTTTCGAGGGGTTCATTGGGGTTGATAGGGGTTATAGGGTCTAGAGGGTGTATAGCGTTTAGCAGGGTTGTCTTTTAGGGGTTAAACCCCCCCAACCCCCTAAACCCTAAACCCTAAACCCTAAACCCTGAACCCTAAACCCTAAACCCCAAACCCTAAACCCACATAAAGTATCAAAGGAGCCGAGGCTCGGCCCGAGATGCGAGGCGGACTTCGCACCTTGGAGCGCCGGCGGCGGGCGCGCCCCTGTGCGTGTCTCCGCTCTGTCCGGGGAAGGGGAAGGGGAAGGGGGGGGGGGTAAAGGGTTTAGGGTGATTAGGGTTCAGGGTTCAGGGTTTAGGGTTTAGGGTTTGGGGTTTGGGGTTTAGGGTTTAGGGTTTAGGGTTTGGGGTTGAGGGTTTGGGGAAAGTTTAGGGTTTACGGCTTAGGGGGCTTTAGGGGTTTACGGATTAGGGAGGGCTGCGGGCTGAGGGTTGAGGATTGAGTTGAGGGTTTAGGGTTTAGAGCTTAGGGTTCAGGCCTCTTATGGGTTTCAGGGTGTGTTGGATGTGGCTTAAGAGGATTTTCAGGTTTATAGTAAACTCCAAAAAGTTGGAACATCCCTCTCCCCATACCCCAAAAGGTACACTAAAGGGAATCCCAGCTCTAATCATCCTTAAACCATGTTCCAACTTTCTGGAGTTTGCTTTAGTTGGGGGCGTTCGGGGCTTTTGGGCTTTTGGGGCCTTTTGTGGGGTTTGGGGCGTATAGACACTTGTGCAGTAAATGGTCCAAAAAGATTTATGATTCAGGGGTCAGAATACCCCTACAAACCTCGCCATACCCTTAAAAAGAACTGAACCTATGAACCCCTGAAGCCTCTAACCCCAAAGCTCTCAACCTCCCGCGCCTATAACGCCCAAAAGGTCTTGAAATAAACCTCAACCCTAAACCCTAAACCCTAAACCCTACACCCCCAAACCCTAGACCCTAAACCCGAAACCCCACACCCTAGCCCCTAAACCCTGACGAATCGTTTTCAGTCCGCACGCTGCAGCTGCACCCCAATAGCTACTTGCTGCAGGCAGTGGCAAGGCGGGGCTTCTTTAGCAGGGTTCAGGGTTCAGGGTTCAGGGTTCAGGGTTTAGGGTTTAGGGTTTAGGGTTTAGGGTTTAGGGTTTAGGGTTTAGGGTTCAGGGCTGAGGGCTTATGGTATTGGAGCATAGACCATCAAAGTCTCCACCCTACATCTGCACCCATTACCACGCCATGCCAGCTGTCTCAGCAGAAGCTAGGCGCTCACTCAATATGGGCTATAGCTATAGGACGGCGCCTGGCGAGAGGAGGGACATGCCCGCGTGAGGGTTTAGGGTTTGGGGTTTAGGGTCTAGGGTTTAGGGTTTAGGGTTCAGGGTTTAGGCGTTTGGGGGTATTGGAGGGGTTCAGGGTTTCGCCTTGTAACCTGATTGATCTGTAGGGTGCAAAACTGGGCCTCCCACATTCCAAGAGTGCATTTTGCAACTACAGCCCAGTGTTCTCATGTAGTTAAACCCTAAACCCTAAACCCTAAACCCTAAACCCTACACCCTAATGAGGGAACCTAAGGCCCAAAAAATGGAATACGGGCCCACTCTGGGGTCCTAGATTCCTAGCCCAGCCACACCATGGCCCTGGTTTAGGGTTGAGGGTTTTAGGTTTTAGGGTTTAGGGTTTAGGGTTTAGGGTTTAGGGTTCAGGGTTCAGGGTTTAGGGTTTAGGGTTTAGAGGATAAGTTTGAAAGGAGAGAAAACGCAGCGGGTTTTTGTTTAGGGTGGGGGGGGGGGGCAGAGGGGCGGGCTAGTCTCCGTCTTGATGCAAACAATCTTTAACGACCTGCGGAAGGTCAGACTCATCTCCTGTTTAGCACAACCCGATACTACACGCACATCCTTGGAAATAAATGCAACCCTCGAAGATCTTGCTGTCTGCACATCATGGAGAAGGTGACGGGGATCTAGAAGCTGCTGGTCGCGCATACAGGAGCTGCGTTTAAGGATCCAAAGGGTTGCTTTACATCAGGGTTTAGGGTTTAGGGTTTAGGGGTTAGGGTTTAAAGTTCAGGGTTTAGGGTTTAGGGTTTAGGGTTTAGGGTTTAGGGTTTAGGGTTTAGGGTTTAGGGTTTAGGGTTTAGGTTTGAAGGGGTGAGTTATCACTGACGATGGTTCATGCGACCATGCAACTGTTAAGCCGGGGCTGGGACAAAGATAAAAACCATAGGCAACTTCTTCAGAACACATTAATGGACAAGGAAGCCTGAACCTCGCAACCTCTTCGAGAGAAGAACCCTGAGTAGAAGGTCTGGGAGGCTTGGGGTTTAGGGTTTCAGGGTGGGGGGGCTCAACACCAGACGTCCCTTCTTGAGTACACTACATGCCGGGTGGCCCTATGCCCTAAACCCTGAACCCCAAACCCTAAACCCTAAACCCTCAACCCTGAACCCTAAGAACCCTAAGAACCCCGACAGGGACCATCGTTTACAGCATTGACCCCATGAAAGGGCGGGAGGTGGCACCATCACAGCCGCTTTGCCATAGCCTCCTGCCACAGGGGCGCTTGTTTGGGGTTTAGGGTTTAGGGTTTAG